GGGATCCAATTAACCGGAGCAGATTCAGCCCAGGGACCCACAGAAATACCAACACCGCTTGGCCGGTACTTGAAGCTGCATCGTCTCCGAATAGGCGCAATTAAAACGTACTGCTAGTGTCACCTGAAAGGGATGGTAAAGTGAGCACAGAGCTCAAGTCTTGCAGGCGGGTTTCCGATAAGCAGCAGACATCGATCGAGAGGGTCCCTGATGTCCAGGCAAGTGCTGTCTGTTGACCGACCTGTAACAACCTTCATAAGTTGAGGTACGCCAATCTGAAGAAGGATGGAGGGTTCCAAATAGAGGCAGATGATCTGGGTTTGAGCACTTGGTTAAACATGGACTTGACGATAAGACAGGAGTGACGCTCCGCGGTTGCATATGAGTTGAAACTAGAAGCTAAACGCCCAACAAAGCAAGGTGGGAGAGGGCCAAGAATTGAGGGTTTTGAATGATGGGATGGCCTAGCGGATAGCGACCTCCTGCGCATTCTGTTAGGTAGTCCCCTACGTTTATTTGCAGATATTTGTGTCATCTGTAGGTCATCTGTTTGACCATGCCGATCATTTCGGTCTCGCCCACCACGCCAATGCGGCCAATGAACACCTGCTCTATCTGCACTCAGCGTGTAGGACCTCGTTCCAAAGCCATCACCTGCTCGATCTGTCTTCACCGTGTTCACGCTCCTTGTGACAATTCGCTCCATGCAGCTGACATCGAATTCTGTCGCTCGCATTCACAGACGGTCCTGCGGTACATTTGCCTGGTTTGCATTCCCAGAATTGCGAATTACGTGCGGGATATTTCTTGCGACCTTTCCTCCACGACTTGCTCTATGCTTGGTTCTGTAATCTCGTCTCCCACTAACCCGCCCTCCACACCGCGTAACAAGCAGTCGCAGACGCAGTCGCCCCGGTCACCACGATTCGTTGAGCCGCCTAGCAACAATGCTCGCTCAAAAGTGCGCTTGCTTAATCTGGAAGAACAGCTACAGAATCTATTGCGGAAAGTCGACGGTCTAACCAAACGACGACAACAACCTCTCAACCGTCCTGAATCACGTACCGTCTCACCGTTACCAACTACTGGTCTGTCCAAGACTTGCCGACGACCAACGCTTCCGACGGAGGCCCTCCCACCAAGTAAACTTGCTATCGGTCCACATCCGCGTTAGTCTCAGCGAATGAGTAGCCCTGCTCCTAATTCTGTCATATGTACAAACGTGCCCGAGTCCAACGACCCGCAACTTCAGAATCGACATTCTCATGATTCCACTATGTGGAGCTCAATCTGTAACGCGTTAAACCTCCCTGAAACAAAACCCATTAGTCTCACAAGACTGACTCGCCACACTTCATCTCCGAACGCCGGTAAGCCAAGACTTCTGCGTGTTGACTTGCAGCCAGGCCCGGCTATGGAGGATGTCCTGTTGTCAGCACACCTACTCCGAAACAATGCGTCTCTCGGCATTTACCAAATTCGTATCTTCCCCGACATCCCTTGGACTAAGCGCGCTGTGCGCAGACAGCAACTGACGCCACCCACTCAACCATGCTCCATCATTGTGCATGGCGTCCCAGAACTGCATGCCCTTGACGCAACTTTACAACAACGACAACAGCATGACTGTAATCAATGGCGGTTCCTTCAGCAGACACTAAATATTGTCAACGTAATCACAACGGACGTTCACCGCCTACCTCGTCCAGCAATTTATACAGGAACAGCTCCCCGTCTCCTGAAAGTGACATTCCTCACCGCTAGCATGGCAACCGATGCACTCACCATCTGGTATGCTAAAAGACGAGCACCACCAGATATCCGTCTGCGTCCAGATGAGCACCCGGTGCCGAGGCGCACAGCTTCCCACAGACCCCTGGTAGCAGCAGCAGCAAACTCGGTACCGACACACTCTGACCAGATCGTCCTCAGACGGTCTACCACCGAACCACCTGTCTCACTGCCTGGAGTAATTTACTCACCTACACATTCCAACCTTCAGACTTTCAACGACCCAGCCGCCAGCACCCATCTGTGCTCCGACAACCCACACCTTGTTTCCCCAACTACAAACTTTAGCGGCTCCACCCCTCTTAACCAAAAAAACGGTCACTGCCGGTCATCTGCTGACCGGCAGCACCCTAGTTACTCCCGCGCTCATCACCCAAACGGGCCTCACCTGTATCTACACGAACGCACAGGGCCTCATGTCCAAACTTCTGGAGCTCCAATCCCGACTTCTATCAACACCAGTGGACCTAATAGCCATAACGGAAACGTGGCTCTCCGGCGACATAACCGACGGTGAAATCCAACTTCCTCACATGTCAGTTCTCCGCTCTGACCGTGCAACCCCTGGTGGCGGTGTCGCACTGTACTATGACATCTCCCTCAGCTGCAGCATGTTAACAAACACTGCCCTCCAGTCTCCAGACACCATGTGGTGCGAGGTCGTACTAACCGCCAAACACTCCAGCTGTCTTGGTATCATTTACCGCCCCCCAAACAACACTCCCGAAAAGGATGCACGACTACTGCACGACGTCCACCTTATGTTATCCCATAAGCGCACACATTTTCTTATCATGGGTGATTCCAACCTGCCCCGTCTATTTCACTCTGTCTCGTCTACTAACTCCTTTGCATCAGGCCTCATTGATCTTCTTCACACGGCCCCGTTGTACAACCACACGTATCAGCCGACCAGATTCCGATCCAACAACCAACCGTCCCTGCTAGATCTCGTCCTCACTAACGAAGAACTGATGGTTGAGCACGTTGAGTATGATGCCCCTTTGGGGCTTAGCGACCACTGCGTCCTCCGTTTCGATTTTCCATGCTTCGCCGAAAAACTCGTCAGCACGCCAACTTATACCAAACGCTGGACTGATTACGGAAAGTTGAACCTTCTCATTTCCGCTAACAACTGGTCAACCGAGCCCCAATCGAGTGCCGACAGCGTGTGGTCAAGCTTTTGCCTTACCCTACGTGAACTCTGCTCCACTACGACGAAGTGCAAAGAAGTTTCCATAGGGAAGAGACGCCCAGCACTCATCCGAAGTCGTACACGGAAATGGATTGCCTCCAGGAACACGGCATGGAGAAACTATCGCTCCCATCCAACGGCCACTCAGTGGGAGTATTACCGATCCATCCGTAACCAATGCGTCCATCTTGTACGAGAAGATAAGAGTGAGCACCAGCGTCAACTTATGCGTAAATTTTCATCCAATCCCAAAGCCTTGTATAGTCACGTCAGTAGTCTTCGACAAGTCAAGCACGGTGTCACCGCATTGACGACCCCCACAGGGCTCACGAAATCAGCTAACGAGGCAGCAGAAGTCCTGTGCCAGCAGTACGCACCCACATTTTCCGTTCCATCAATGCACACAACGACGGTACCTTCTTCGGTTTCACTCTCAACTTCCCTGACGACTGTTCATTTCACTCCGGAGAAGGTCCTGGCGAAACTCAAATCCCTGCGGCTAACGGCCTCTCCTGGCGCTGATGGTGTCCACCCACGGCTCTTACGAGCGTGCGCTGCAGCTCTAGCTTTAGCCCTAGCGGAGCTGTTCACCCACTTCTTCTTGCAAGGCAGTTTCCAATGATTGGAAATGTAGGACTATTACACCAATCTACAAAGGCGGTACTCGCAAAGATCCGGCCAATTACCGACCGATAACTCTCCTATCTACGATTTCCAAAGTGATAGAATCGATTGTCGCAGACGCTTTAATGGACCACATGGAGGCCCAGAAACTGCTCTCTGATTGTCAGCACGGTTTCCGGCGTCAACGGTCTTGCCTGAGTAACCTGCTACTTGCCAGGGACAGCTGGACGACTGCAGCCGACTCTGGCCAAGAAACGCATGTTATCTTCCTGGATTTCGCCAAAGCCTTCGACAAGGTCGATCACAAGATTCTGCTGCGGAAACTGTCATCTTACGGCGTTTCAGGGGACTTGATGGACTGGATCCGGAACTACCTCCAATACCGTACTTTCCAAGTCCGCGTCGACGGAGCGTTGTCTCCCCGCATCCTTGCCGCAAGCGGAGTTCCACAGGGGTCTGTTCTCGGACCGCACCTCTTCCTAGCCTTCACTGACGACGTCACACCGCAAGTGGAGTCTTCGCTGCTACTATACGCGGATGACGCGAAGCTGTGGCGCACAATGAACCTGTCGGACGATGCCCACGCACTTCAGACGGACCTCGACCGTCTACATCAGTGGTCCATAGAAAATAACCTTCCATTTAACGCTTCGAAATGTCGCGTCCTTTCTACCCGCCCTTCCGCTTTTTCTCCTGTATATTACCTGGGAGCGTCTATCCTCCAGATCTCTTCAGCCGAAAGAGACGTGGGTATCATTACCCAGACGAGTCTTTCCGTATCCGCTTCCTGCCGGAAAGCAGCTGCTGCTGCTAACCGCATGGTGGGATTGCTGAAACGAGCCTTCGGTCAAATTGACCCCAGCAATTTCCGCCTCCTCCTTAACGCTTTTCTTCGACCCCACTTGGAGTTCGCTATTCAGGCTTGGAGCCCTTGGTTGTTGAAGGACCAACGCATACTCGAAGCCCCACAACGTCGAGCAACCAAACTGGTCCGAGGTCTCAAGCACCTAGATTATCCACAACGACTTCAGTGCCTGGGCCTCTACTCGCTTAAGTACCGACGTCTACGGGGCGACCTGATCCTCGTATTCATGATCTTATCCAACCCTGGACATCCCTGTCACCACCTACTCACACTGCACCAATCGGGCTCCCACCTACGTGGCCACCCACTGAGGCTCACACATCAGCACAGTCGGCTGAACTGTAGACGACACTACTTCGCTTTGCGAACCTGCCGACCGTGGAATGCTCTGCCTGCCGATTTAGTCTTGGCACCCACTGTGGCGGACTTTAAGACCCGCTTGGACTGTCATCTGGCCGAGCTACACCGCGATATTCCCTAATTTAACTACATCCTACTGGATGGAATTTCTTTTCTTTTTTTCTTCTACCTACTTCCTTTCCAAAGCCGTTTCGGAGGGCGTGGTGGGATGTCTCGCTTTGAGCCGGCGTGCATTCTGTTTAAATGCCACATAAGCCCGATGAAGATACGGCTAACACGCGAGTCCAACCCGCTATAAGGTTGCTTGGCCTTTCATTAGACCCGACCCGTACTCTGTTTACCCTATTGGTCATGTAAAGCTCAAGCTTTTATTCCCATTAAATACAATGTTCCAATGTTCCAATGGAATGGGACGATAAGGATGAAAAATCTTAAGAGGGGGAACATGAAGACGGGAGGGCTTGAGCAGTGGAATCCTTGCCCCTATTCACTCTACTCGAAACAGCAGATAGGACGCCGTTTACTATCCTCTGCGACAGCCACAGCATCCAGGAGTCAGGTGGAGAAAAATGCGTAGTTGTATTGCGCGGACAGGATACTGTCAGATTGCCCAGGCCCAGACCGAACGATTAGGGTTCTCAGCCAAAGCCTTTGGTTCAAAAACCAGACCGCAAGGCAGCGTGTTTGGCAGTGGGCTACAAGGAGTCCGCTTTAAGGAATAAGGAGCCACCCTCAGTCCAACCCCCCAACCTGGAGGACCAGGAAGCTGAGTTTGTCTGGCCTCTAACTGTTGACCAATTTGGTACGAGTTACTCAAAAGATGCGAAAAGCACCACCCAACACAACTCCATGGACCACTGAGGCACGGGAACCATCGCACCACGATAAGGTCTAGCTTCATTGACTGGGATCTGTTTGAGTTGAAATAAGGCAAAGAAAAAGTATAATCAGTACACCGGTACGCAATATCGACTCTTCGCTGCTGCGCAACTATCACCAGTGGCAGGTGGGCTAAGGACACAGCGAGGGTCACCCGGTTCCTGCGCAGGCTCGAACCCGCGCCATCGGATTACAAGGCGGGCTTGTGATGCTTAAAGCTACGGGCCCGTTTACATTCCAGGTCTATTGCGGCAATATAGTAGTAAACTCTCATATATCCCACGATGATCCACAAAAAGCCCGGAGCAAAAAAGCAAGAATTTTGAGTAGGCTGCAGGCGTGGTGCACACTGGTGCAGATAACAGACGCAGGTGCTCACCATCAATGAAGCCACTAGAAACCTACCCGAATGCAAGCTGATTTTGTTGTGCCAAATGGGATCACTAGTTTACGTCCTGTTGTCCTCGAAGCGCTTAACCCCCACGGTGCCCCATTTGTACATGCAGGACTGCCAAGCTTCCAAGTTGCGACAACACATGAGATTTAAGTTTAGCCGCCGGCTCAATTCATGCGCCTGCGTGGTAAGGGACCCAAAGAGGATAAATGTCGGTAACTGTAAAAAAATGCGGCGCACTACCGAAATCAGTGAAGATTGTTACGGAGAGTCAGCGTTCAGGTCGAGAACAGTGGCGCAACAGTGGATCGAGCTGCAATTAGAGATTAAATGCGAGTAAAGACAAAATGCGAATCCATGTAGAATCGACGGTAAGTCGGACCATGAACTTGAACGGTTTGATTTGTGTTAATTAATAGTAATTAGCACTCTAATCTTGTTGTTAGTGGTTTCCTACAACCTATTTATTGTGCCATGCTCTCGCAGAATAAAATCAGAATCAAAATCGGAATCGTTCGGTCCGGCTGTTTTCTTGGTGTTCTAATTTCGTGGCGGGTTGAACTGGTTTGGAGCGGCACAGCTAATTGAGGCAGGTTATCCGTAAAGTCAGCGGAAACCAAACACATTTCTGGCAACGGTCAGCTACACGGTAGCAGCAGGTTAGCCGTATATTCAGCTGCACCACAACAAAGATACTTATGCACAGTTGTTTGGATTCAAGTGTTAAATGCCACAACCCTTGAAAATGGCAAAAAAAGAAATCAAAGCAATAAAAAGATAGATGATTAATTATTTCTTAATGGCAATCGTACCTATCACCCTCCCCCTTAGTCTACTTCTTAGAAACGTAAAGTAGCAGAGCGGCAGCTTCTCCAACATATGCAGTCCACCTGGGCAAAAATTAACCAGCAGTGATAAAATGCTTTTAAAGGGGAGCAAGAATGAAGTAACGAGGTTCAAATGATTTACACAAAAAACCAAGAAGCGTAAACCGAACTCACCTGATAGATCCAGTTTTCGCTTCGGCAAGGACGCTGTTTTATGTACGGCCTTTTTAAGGCATCGTGCTACTTGTTCAGACAAGGGAGGAGAAGGTTCCAGGATTCTAGCCACAGAATCACAATAAGTGTCACCGAGAATGTTTTCGCAGTTCTTGGCACAAACCCAATCGGGAGTGTGTAGGGCATCATCCAACGACTTAACTACACATTTTTGTGGGTCTGAGTTTGATGGCGTAGGTAGGATTTTCTGCGGTGGTTTTGCAACAGGAGTAACATTCGAGCCACCTAAAGAATCTGCCTTGCTTATTGATAAGGAGAAGCAACCTTCGGGAACACTCCGGACAGGAAACTGGGATTCGTCCAACCGGCTCCAACTTTCGGCGCAAGCATACAGCCAGCTCCTGTTTACAGCTGGAATGCCCCATTGCAAAGCAGCAGGCCATTTACGACCATCTGGTTTAGCGGCAATCAAATGGGTGCTAGCTGCCAGGTCACGAGATGGGATAGCTTTCCGTAAAAAGCATTCTTGTGTTACGGCACCGAGAGCTTGTGAATAAGAAGTTAAAAGACTTCGGTCTCTTCCAACAAAACCACTCAAGGAAATAACACAGCCGAGTAGAGGGGGTGGTCCCGATCGTATGCAAGGAGTGAATGCTCGCTCCGTGGTCAAATCATTCAGCTGAATAGATGACACGGAAATGCAGTGCTCAATCCAATGCTGCGTGACAAATCTGCAGCTTGACGCCGCAGTTGGCAAGGACATGACAAAAAACGGAGCCACAATATAATCCACTTCCATGGAACTGAAAAGCACACGACCACCAGAAGAAGAAATGGATTTACTGAGACTTTGCTTTGTGTCAACAGAAAACTCTTCATGAAGAAAGAAACGGAGACCAGAAAAAATGCCGCTAGTGCATAAGGGGGAAATAGTGTTGACAAGTGAAGAAAACGACGGGTTGTTTTCGGGACCATGTGCAGGAGCGGGGACTGCAGTAGTGTCTCCCGCACCAGAGGTAAAATCATCCAAATCAGCGAGACCGCCTGCGCCGAAGTACTGGTTAATCAACCCCATATCTTCAGTGTCCAGTGTCTGCTTTGTTATTTCCTCTGAACGCGTTGAGACGGAATTTGTGCCCGAGCACTCCGAAGTAAATACGAGGTGAGCTGCTTCGTCAACATGGCGACATGCTTGTTTACAGCTGATAAGCCAGGAACCTCGGACATAATATATCCCCTGCTCCATATTTGCAACTGCCGATGTGTTTAACGATCCGACGACAACATGAGTGAGTGACTCGGAAACTTGGTCATGGAGTTTTGTACACAAGCGTCCGCCTAACTCAGAAACCAATTTAGAATATGTCACGACTTCGTTCACGGAACAGTCCTTGAATGCAACTATGCAGTCAGAAAGTATCGATAGCAAGCTGATTGGAGGTTTTGGCTTGATGAAGCTTTCAGCATGGAGGTACTCAGTGGTTGTTTCATCTACACGAGCGGTAGTGTTGTTTGCGTGACTTATAACCGAGATATTATCGAAGGAAAGTGAGCACCCATTCACCTTGTACGTAGGGGTAGAGCAATTTTCCTTGTTTTCAGGCACACGATATTCCTCCTCATCCATTGCGTAACCCTTGCTAACAGAGTCGACAAGCCAACGCACACTCACAATCTGGATCTTCCACTTTTTTGCATGAGAGTACTTCAAGCCAGCGGCTTGTTTGACGATTAAATGAGTAGTTTCACCGATTTTCATCATACCAGAATACCGACCGCCGTGCTTTAAAACCAGATCGGATACCTCCTTCCGTTCTTCAGCAGAAAGACCGGACACGCAGATGACTAGCTGAGAGAAAATTGGAACACGAAAGCGTTCAGTGTACACTGGAAGCATCATATCTATTGGGTCTTGTATCGCAGAAAGCCTCCAAGCTTCTTTGATCCAACTAGGAAGCAGTATATGCAAACCACGACTAGCACCAACCAAATATTTTTTGGAACCGACTTTCGGTGTTATCACTACATTAACGCCATCAAATAAATCCCGAGACGCATGACCATGGAGCATTTCAATGGACTTCAACAAATACTCCCTTTCGGATCCTGTAACAGAAGTAACAGTGGCGATTGCACCCATCAATGCTGTTGAAAAGAGTGGGTAGGACACCTTCGGCAAGGCTTTGTTCTCCCTAACGTAATGCAATATAATCTGCGGTCCGTAAATGGCAGCACCTAAGGATCTTAAGTGCTCGAAACACTCCCCTTCAAAACGACAAAGAACAAAAGATGTCCGTTTATGTGGCTTAGAGGAAAAGTGGCGAATAACTTCCAATCCGTCTAACCGTTTTGCTGTAAGATTCTCGAAGGCGGAAACAGCATCATATGCAGCTGACAATAAAGGCGTTGCGAAATCATTCACAAAAACAATTTCGTATTTGTCTTTGTCCATTGTGCAGATAAGGTACCTAGGTACCTTGCCAAACTGTGGGCAAAATGTTAAGGAAATATAATACTTAGTAATCAAGCAAAAACCGAACGTAACTGGCAACGGACCCACAGAACTGTGTACGCAAATCCTTTACGAGGCCGATCTAACTGTCCGAGAAACAAGACATGACACAATTGGGACTGCGGAGCGTCGGATCCGCCAATCGGCTGCCCGGTAGTCGCAGACCTAGCAGGGTACTTTAAAGATGGAGACGTTTGTTGATTGGTCGGACAGGAGTCAAACAATTGATCTGAAGACTCTGACATTCTAATCTGGTGTACCCATGAAACTGTGTTTTAGTGTGCTAAATATCTATTAACCGTTTGTCGCCGATTCGAATGCCTGGCAAAACGGTTAACAAAAGGCTGTAAATTTGGTAAATTAATTAGACAAAGAAATTTCCATACTGTTATGTCCAACATTGCACAGTGAGCGCATCGTAATGCTAAAAGACAAAATTAGGTACACTATGATGATGACGCCAAAGCTGACCTCTAGGCTCTACAGTTCTTCTCAGTATATACGAAGGGAGACAGATTCGCAAACCCTCATGTAGTTGCACATACAGTACCTCTGGAACATATCGATATCGATGCAGGTGCTACCTTGAAGCTACTACTAGAACTGAACTCCTCTTCCTCACCAAGCCCAGACGGGTTACATCCACCTTTTCTCAAGATGGTTGCAGAATTCATTGCCGTCCCACTTTGTCAAATCTTTCAGCTCTCTCTTAAAGCTGGTCGACTACCTGTCGATTGGAATACGGGTGTGATTACGCCGAAATACAAAGGTGGAAACCGCCAGGACCCTGCGAACCATCGGCCAATTTGCTTGACGTCGGTCGCCTGCAAGGTCATGGAAAAGCTCATTAAATCTGCTCTCCACCGACAGTGCGAAGATCTGAACTTCACCTCAGTCACTCAGCATGGCTTCCGAAAGGGGCACTCCTGCATCACTAACCTGCTGGTCGCTAGAGAGAAGTGGGCTAAATCAGTGGACGCTGGAAAACGTTTAGATGTGGTCTTCATCGACTTCAGCAAAGCTTTTGACAGAGTCCCACATCAGGAACTACTCTCTAAGCTCTGCGGAATTGGCTTAACAGGGAACCCCCTTACTATGGATCAGTGACTTCTTGCAAGGCCGGAATATGCAAGTCCAAGTAAACGATACCCTTTCATTCCCCGTGCCTATGTATAGTGGCGTACCACAAGGCTGCGTTCTCGGACCGGAATTGTTCAAGATATATATCAATGACCTACCAAGTATGCTACAAACGGACTGTCTGATCTATGCAGTCGATCTCAAGCTATGGTCGGAAGTGTCCAGCCTCGAAGACGCCGGCCAATTACAGGAAACACTTGATCTACCACAATCTGGGTCTATCAAGTGGGGTTTGCCGGTCAACAAAGATAAATGCTCAGTCCTTTCTATAGGTGCTGCTGATCCAATGAGCATCTATCACATTGGCAGGCACATACTCAAGATTGCCACACAGGAAAACGACCTGGGGACAATAATCTCCTCTGATCTCAAAACGACCCTTGACACGTTAAAGAAAACTGCTGCGGCGAACAGGATGTGGGGCGCCATAAGGATATCATTCTTTAAAATGAGGCCGCAGATATTTAGACTTCTCTTCACCTCCCATCTCCGTCCCATTTTTGAATTCGGACATCCGGCCATAGCCCCATTATCTAAACATGAAAGTGACAAGATAGAAAAAATTCAGCGACGAGCCTCGAAATTTGTCCTTGGGCTACGCAACCTCCCGTACCCACCCGACTACAGAGGATGAACCTTTATTCCTTAGACTATCGCCGACGTCGCGGGGACCTCATCTATAGCAGGCGCATCCTACGAGGAGAACTGGGAAACGAGCTATGACAATTCTTTCAGCTAAGACTTGGCAGCTCGACTCGAGGTCACAGCTGGAAGCTTTTTAAACCGAGGAGGCTCAAAGTCCGCTCAGACGTTGCTCTCTCTACTCGAGTGCTTAATGATTGAAACCGACTGCCGGACCCGATTGTCAATTCGCAATCAGAGCGAGTTTCAAACGTTTGCTAGACATCTTCCTACTGAGTACTCCAGGATCCTGCTGGGCTGATATTACATCCTGAGCCATGACAGCCAACTCGCCTGCAATCTTTGGAAGATCGGGAAGCGAAGGAGCTGACACGGGACCCCCCTTCTGCTCTCTACCCCTCAATGAACTCAATAGGTAGCCTATTTTCATGGATGCTCTATTTAACTAATTCACAACCTTAAAAGTCCGTCAAAAACATTGGATTTCCGCAATGTATATCGTAAAAGCTTTCTTTTGTGACAAGCTTGTTGGCACGAGCGTCCGTTAATAGTCCGTGGGTTGTCTTTTACGCGTCTTCTCGGCGTCCTGTCTAGATTTTGTTAGACGCAAAACTGAACACCGACGAGATGTGCAGCAAAACGGTTTTGAAATAAATGCTAACTGGGGTCCACTCAAGCAGCTGGGCCCGCTATGTGGCAAAATTGCTAATATCTAACTGGCGTTACTATGCTTCTACGTATCGATGGGGAAACATCGAAGTGTGTATTGCATGCAGCTACATTTGCCTTAAATATGCGTAACCCTAAAGCAATATTGTTAACTAAAGTAGAAATTATTCACTACAAGGTATAAAAGATAAGCATACCGTTTCTGAGCCCATTTATCAAAAATTCGTGCCGTCCACTTTTAGTTTCCTCCTGGACTATTTAATTAGTCTCCTATTGTGCCTATATTTTTAGCCTCAGAATTTTAATGGGAAACGCATTATTAATATAATGAAATAAGTAACACTTGGGGTTTGTAAGATTCATAGCAGTGGATACATCATAGCAGACATAATTAAGTGATTACTTTAACAGGGGAAATTTTGTAAAATCATAGGAATTTTATGCAGCATTATTTTACCTAGGAATTATCATTTTATCCAAACATATGTACATCGAGCGCTCCCACTGAATCGTGCTTTTGGCCACTAGCGGAGAAGCAAAAGGAGATGAAGATAAACGTCTTTTATTTCAATGGATATTGTTAACTAAGGTTCTTAATAATTATCGGCGCTGTTTAGTGCGCTATATCCTTTTTTATCGTACTTTCTGTCAGCGTAAGTGACTTTTAGCGCGCCATGGGTGACGAATAATTCGTCACTGTGGTAGTATGTACTTACCAGTCTGTAATCGATTACCGCGTAACGTTGACGGAATATGCATCCCTTCAGCGCGAGCAGCGAAATCGTGTGCCGTCGTGTGAGCGTTGTAACTCCCTAAATGACCAGACTTTTGGCTCTCAGCAGTGCAAATTTACGCCATATGGACGGCCTTTTGGTCACCCAGTATATCTTCCAACGCTCCTTGAACTTCAGCACCGAAAGCTTCATGGTAAAAATATCGTAAACATGAAGCGGAAAGCCACATATTATTTATAATTACGGAATGCAGTAGCCTCAAACCCAAACCATAAATTGATTTTGGATCACCAAATCTTGTCCAAACGAAACTTAATTAGGATGATTTTCGGCCGACAGTGTGCATTTTCTGATGCTACCACAGCATTATCGTGAGTGCACTACTGTCGGAGCCTGTATACTACAAGCACAACCTTCGGAAGCAAATGCTATTACAACGCACTTGCTTCCTAGTACATCGGCACCAAATATGCCACTGATGGAGCCTATATACAACGACCACGAGACCTCGAGCCGTATGCTATTACAACTCAACTGGGTCCTATTACGTTTACACCAAATGTGCCACTGATGGAGCCCATATACAACGACGACGAGACCTCCAGCCGTGTGCTATGCCAACCCACCTGGGTCCTATTACACTGACAGCAAACGGTAAGCTAGTCCAGTTCATTGTTTAAAATACTGTAATCCCAAATGAGCGCAGAAACCGATATAAAAACTGTGCATTGTATTTAACAAAAGGCAGCGCGAGAAGGTTCAGCGTTGTTCACTATATTCGTGTCTTGGTCGCGCATGTCCCATGCAGGGTATCATTACACAAAGTCGTATTCATCGGTTAAAATATAATAGTAGTGCGAACATACAGCCTACTGTCGGGTAATTGAATGAGAGTTTTATCTGAACAAGCTTTTTCGTTCTTTGCGTTTTCTTTACTGGGCTGGCATAAATGTCCACGCTAAAATGAAGTGAACATGGGAGTTTAAATTGCACCAAATAGCTTACTTTGGCACTCTATTCTGCACAATACCTCTGATTGTGGGGAACTCCACGGCTCCCTTTTGACAACATAACGATGAAAGGTAAGGAAATCGATCACCAGTACCAAGTGCATGCGCAACATGGGTTACGGTTTGTTGACTTATACTCGGATCGGCGGTAGTCTCATCCTGACTGCCTGCGCAAGAAATAGTTATACTAAACTGTTGCTTACCTTCGTAAGCGGGGCAAGTTGATGGGGTAGAGGCAACTGTGAAATCCGGTGAGGGTGAACGGTCAACAGCTAAATATCGAAGTAAAAAGTTGCTTGCTTACCGGTAGTACAGCATTGCACTGTCATCATGGGCACAGATACCATTTGTGAAGTGCTGACACAAATTGTACAACGGGCTCCGGATTGCACACGCAAACACTTTCGATGGTAAAGTAACCGGATGTGGGCACAGTGAACTGCGTCAACCACAACAGGCTTGTTGCATGTGAAACACAAACCTGTGGGCGCCATAATTTTCGGCCAATGCGGTTGTTTTTGCACGTTGAAAGTCTGATGAATCACCAATTACTTCGTTAGTCCTTTGCAATAGCTCTTGATACAGTTTCGAAAATCCGGATGGATTAACCTCTTCAGCACTTCTCAGATGTTGTACAAGATGTGCAATTTTAGACATGGATGGTTTCGTAACGATGACTTTTAATCTCCGCAACGGCATGGACTCTGTGGGTAGGTGGTAGTCCACCAGCCAGCGGATGCAAATAGGCATTTGGCCTGTAAATGGATGCACATATCAGAAACGGCTTACTTGTCGGGTCCGTGTGCTGCTTGTATGCCGTCATTAAATGCACAAACGGAAGCCACATGGTTTCATAAAAAGGACAGGTATATGTTCCCAAGGAGCAATCGATGGTGAAGCGGTTTCCCTGGTGTGATATCTCAAACTATGTAAGCGTCAGAAATTTTTATTCACATA